AATATATTTGCGTAAACCGGTTCATTGTATATTTAAGATATATTTAAATTCATGTGAAGCAAAAACTTAATTTAAAAATATAGAAAACAACATAACCTCCACTAGTACATTTTAATATAGACTCAATTTTTTTTTGTAAAATGAAACAACATGAATATTATTTAAAATGCTCATAGTATATCAATAGTAGCATTTTTAAATATACAGACGACTATTGTTTTTGTTTTGGACAACATAAACAAGTATTGTAAACAAGAAAAACTATATCTTATTTCATATAATATTTCATGGACTAAAACTTTCTTAAAGACAAAAATACATTGTTATATACATTTTTTTTGCAAATGAAATCTTAAAAGACACACAACAAAAATATACAAAATAATAAACTAGATCACAAGTAACAGGCGGGCCAATCCTAATATATATATATATATATATAAGGTAGGATTTTTTCTCATTTTAGAGTGCCATGTCAGTAATTTATCCCTTCTCAACATGACATGTGTCCATTATCATTTTATGTTGGTCCATGTCACTTATTGCATTCATTCAATGAATCACATTTTCTTCTAATGTGGTCTTTTCCCAAAATATAATATATATAGTTAGAGCCCTAGAGAGTCAATGGTAAGTTTCCTCTTAAAATTTGTTTGTTTATTATTTTCTCTCGGATTCCTAGAAAAAAATATCTCTGATACTTTGAGTTAATCAAAAGGTCTTTGCCCCAAGCTAATGATGAACAAAATGAATCGTGCAAGCGAAGATTAGATAAGGAAATCGTACTGTGGACTCGCTCGCACCGACTCGGTTGTATGCAGATCCAGAATGACTCCGAACAGGATGACAACCACCGTGAGTAGTCGACATAACCCATAGAATAGCTACTTTGAATCAAGATCACCAGAAATTATTACAATCACAATGATTGTGAATACAAGGTTGAAGATTGCAAAACTAGAAGAAGTCGAAATTAAAATCTTGTGTTTCCTTTAAGAATTAATGCGGAAGGTGGCTGAGATAGATTATAGTTTCGTAACTCTCATTAAAATAACCATGTCTTTCCAGATATTCTATCTAGATGAGAACTACGTATGGTTTATGTTAGTCATGAAACAGCACGATGTTTGAGAAAAATACTTTTGAGGAATTATGAATGAACTTCATTATAGACTATAGATTTAAAAGTTCATTAGCATTCCTACGTTTGCAAAAAAAAATTATGAGGTTCAAGTTCTAAAAAAGGATTTCTTAAAAATTACAAAAAATAATGATAAATAATACTTTGCGATATTTTGATGCAAGTTCAATGTTGAAGGATGAAACATACTGAATTATTAGATATCAATCTCTATTTAAAACATTTAGAGCTTAAAAAGCAAGAACGACAAAATTTTTAAAAGAGTGTATTTAATATTTTTTTTCTTCTGATCCTTCAACTTAATGTAAAGAAAACTAACAAAATATTGACAAGGACCACAACAAAGAATTAATAAATAGTCAAGATATAAATTTTAAAAAGGATAACTTGAAGAGATATAATAAATAAAACAAGAAATATATAAAAAAAAAACTCTTTTCATCATATAAACAAAAGATCAAATTACTCTCTTCAAGTAGATTATAAACCGTCATTTTTTAATAGTTAACTCATAAATTCAAAAAGCAATTTAAACATAAGTTCAACACTAATATGAAAGCAAGAAGTATATATTTCACAGAAGTAAGAATGCAATACAAAAAAACATGAACAATAAAATAGATATAAATGCATATATAAAACGCATTTACTAAAGTAAAACAGATCAAAATATCTACACCACCCAAAATAAAATATTACATAGTCATTTTGGTAGTTTATAACAGTCTTATTAAACAAACTAGGGATCGTCCACCCCGCGCTTGCGCGGGGTTATTACCGTTGGTGTTGTGTTGTTTTTATCCATGAAGGGGTGACCCATGTGTTGGGGAAGTTTTTTTTGAGACTGTGAAATGAATTAGATTATTTACTGATTTATAAAAGTTTGTGGTCAGGTTTTGTAAATAAATGTTTGTTGATATAGGGATAGATTGTTTTATATTTTATGTTTTATTTGTTTTATTGGACGTGGGTATATATGGTATTAAAATTTTATTTAAACCGTAGTCTATGACTATTTAGTTTGTTTGCATTTGTTTTCATCTAAACATCGAAAGTTCTTTTTTAAAAAAAAAGAAAGCAAACAAAATCAAGAGTTTTATGCTCTCAGTCTGAGTGCATGGCTACAGAGCGGACATTTATGCAATGTTTACATGAGCTATGTTTCTTTAGGAATGCATGTCATCTTGTAACATGTAGTGATTGATGCATTTAGTTGTGGACATTATCAATATGCAAAATGTAGTCAACACTGCCTTTTTTAAATAAAACTTAGAAATTGTCCTCTTCATAGGAGGGAGTTTGCTGGAAATTAAAGAGAAAAACTCAAGTTAAAAAATTTTCATATCCGACTTAGACTGTGATTGAACAGATAAATCTGGCGACATGTGTTTAATCCGGTTCAGATTTAATAAAAAATTGTTAGTTAAAATAAGATAAAACTTTGTAAAATCCAAAACCAACTATTAACCCGTGATCTGATATCAGATGATTCGCTGAAAACAAAAAAAATCAATTCTGATTTTTTTTTTATTAAATAACTTCTACATTTTAATATTATATAAGAATGAAAATTGTAATATCTTATACTTTGATAAATTTTTTATTAAGTCATTTGAAAAAATGAAATAATAGTAATAGAAAAGGAAAATTTATTGATATGACAATATAATTTCTTTTCCGCTTTTAATAACTTATGAAAGTTATTTCTGTTTATTTTAGATGGAAAATGTAATTTTATAATAATTTTTAAAATATTTTGGAAGGTTCAAAAAGTAAAAATAACATAGTAAATAATATTTTTAATTCATATATATATATATACTCAAATTTGATTGTTAAATAATACTAAGCAAGAAAAATAATATTCAAATTAAATTAAGTGTATTATTTACATAAATTTAGAATTAATATTATTTACAAATTATGGATAGTATAGTTACCAAAAATATAAAAAGAAATTTTGTTTAGTTTAAATAAATAATATAACTATTAAAATTAAATGCCAATGACATAACAATGTTAATAACTTAAAAAGTAAGGAGAGAATTCTATTAAGAAATTTGACCCGCGCTAGATTAAAATTTATGATTAAAATTTACAATGTTAGACTAGATTTTGACCCGCGCTTAAAAGCGCGGAAATTTTTTATGATTAAAAATTTAGATAATTGGGGGTTTATCTTAATTTAAAGAATGTTTTGGTATAAAATCAGTTCACCAAAATTTGTGGTGATGGTTGTTTTTCATTATTTTTTAGTTTCAATTTTTATTTTTAGATTTTGTTTTAGATTTTGATTTTTTGGGTTTTAATTTTTAAGTTTCTATTTTTGATTTCAGCTTTTGGCTTGAGTTTTTAATTTTTAGATCCGCTGAGTTAGTTTGAACTGATATTACCCAATTTTTTTATGATTAAAAATTTATATAATTGGGGTTTTGTCTTAATTTAAAGAATGTTTTGGTATAAAATTAGTTCACCAAAATTTGTGGTGATGATTGTTTTTCATTAGTTTTTAGTTTCAATTTTTATTTTTAGAATTTGTTTTAGATTTTGTTTTTTTGGGTTTTAATTTTTAAGTTTCTATTTTTGATTTCAGCTTTTGGTTTGAGTTTTTAATTTTTAGATCCACTGAGTTAGTTTGAACTGATATTACCAACAAACAAATCTCAATTAATCGAACATGTAATTTAAAACTGAAAAGATGACAAAAATATTTTTTTTTTTAAATTTTGAAATAGTTTATTTTGTAATAAAAATTCAAAAAAATATAATTCAAGCGCATCAATTTTTTATGATTAAAAATTTATGTAATTGGGTTTTATCTTAATTTAAAGAATGTTTTGGGATAAAATCAGTTCACCAAAATTTGTGGTGATAGTTTTTTTTCATTAATTTTTAGTTTCAAATTTTATTTTTAGATTTTGTTTTAAATTTTAGTTTTTGGTTTTAAGTTTTTAGGTTTCTATTTTTGATTTTCAGCTTTTGGTTTGGGTTTTTAATTTTTAGACATGTTAAGTTAGTTTGAACTGATATTACCAACAAACAAATCTCAATTAATCGAACATGTAATTTAAACCTGAAAAGATGAAAAAATAATTTTTTAAAAATTTTGAAATAATTTATTTTGTAATAAAAAAAGCAAAAAAATATAACCTGCGTTTTCAGCTTTTGGTTTTGGATTTTAGTTTTTAGATTTGGTTTTGCTTTACATTTTTTTTTTAAAAATCTGTAAATTATTTAAGAAATAAAACAATAAATTATTTAAAAGTTACCATTAAAATTTATCAAGATAGAGTGATTTTTATTTAAAATAAAAAATATTAACATGTTTTAAAGTACATGATTTAAATAAGTGATTAATAATAGATAATTTTGTTTTGTTGAAAATATTAAATATTTTTGGGCTAAAAATATTAACATAAAATATTAACATGTTTTAAAGTACATGATTTAAATAAGTGATTAATAATAGATAATTTTGTTTTCTTGAAAATATTAAATATTTTTGGGCCTGAAAATAGTAATTGATTTTTGATCCATTAAGGTGGAAAGTTTATTTAATGTTTTTTGGAGTTTTTCTTAATATTAAGCCCAAAAACCAAACAATTAAATGTCATAAAATAAAAGTAAGCCCAAAACTCTATTTCATAAATAACCGTCGGTTTAATTTAAGTAATGCGGTTCAATCAACTATATAACTTGTATTATTTATAACTCAAGAAAGGGTCCAAATTTAGATGACAACTTGTATCAGTAGATAAAAAGAATGAGTCTATTTTTCTAGAATAGATAGAATAGATGTAAAAAACGCATTCTTCTAGTTATTGGCTCTTCGTGTAAACCAAAGGCCAACGAAGCATCTTCCAGAGAAAAGATAAAAAAAAACTTGCTAATAATGGCTTGCAAGTTTAATGCCACGTAGTATATTAATCGACCAATTGTCATAATCCATTCAAATAAAATAATGATATGGATATTTCTTCTCTTTGTATTATAAAATAATGATATGGATGTTTCTTCTCTTTGTATTAAGACTTGGCAAAGACGAGCAAGATATCCGGAGACGCGGAAAATAGAGAGAAGAAATCAAAAGGTATATTAAAAGAAACAAAAGTTCTTGTATTTAGTCTACAATGGTGACTCTAAAGCTTGAAATTTGCATCGAGTTTCTGAAACTAACCGTTGATCTCGTCGCCGCCATGGCAGAATCAATCGAAGTAGCTTTCCGTCACCGTCCTCCCCCGCCGGCTCCATATTCAGCGGGGGTGAACGGTCGGCGGAGTAATTACGCGGCCGTTCCCATTCCTCTCGTAGGGTTTCTGTAATTAATTAATGTATTCTCCTCTTATGCTTTTTCTTTCTCTTTGCTCCACTTGTTCTATCATTAGTGCCTTCTTGCCTGATCTACCAAGTGACAGAAGTTGTGATTCTGTATGGAAGATCAAAAACGTAAAGATCATGACGAGTTTACATACTCCGTGAATATATAAAAAAGCTTAGACATTCCCAATCATATAATGTATTATTGTTTTGTTTTTGTGTATATAATTTGTTCATTCATAAGATCTATAAAGAAAAGTTGCTGTTATATTATTCATTTTACAGAACTTGTGTGTCACACTTTCATGGTGTATCTGGTTTTGTGGAGGGACCTATATTAGGGTGTCTTATCCGTGTTTGAGTTTTAGGATTAGTTTGTATGTGGTCTCCACTGAGTAACGTGAGGGATATTTATTAGAAAATATATCGCAGATTTAAGTTTTTATTATCACAATAGGACAGTTGTTGCTATTAGGGTAGTTTTATTTAACTAAACCCACTTCTTTGTTACAAACAAACTAAAGTTACTTAACTAACTAAGGTAGCCTTACTAAGAAAACAAAATCACTACTCTCTCCGGAAGTTATGTTCTCTCACCAAACCAAAAACAATAATTTTCTTTTGTTCTTCTTTCTATCCATCTAAATTATACCAATATGTGTGTTTAAGCTGTGTCATAATTGTTGTGTTCTTCTTTCACGTTTTTGTTTTTTTTTTCATAGATCTGTTCAAATCAAGAGATTAAGCTGCTATTATCTTGAAAGGTTGATGTTTTGTGAAGAAGAGCTATGGTGTTTTGTTTATAATCTGTCAAACTCGAAAATTAGGAAAAAAAAAACTTTTTTCGCTTGGTTTTTAGATCTAATAGTATTATTAGAACAATATTTTTAAGTTCTACAGCTAAAAACGCAAAAAAATGAAGATTACATAAAAAAAATCAATGGCGGCTGTGAGATTTAGTTGCAGAAACGCAAGATACCCTAATAGGAAGAAGATGATTTAATTACGAAATTGCCACTCATTAAAAAAATGTGTACACTTCTATGTGTACATGTAAATGTGTACATGTGTACACTCTTTATTATTAAAACAATGTACACTCTTCATATGTGTACACTGTGTACAAATACATGGATCTCCTATTAAACCCAACTCAATCATGTATATATACATATTTCTTGGTAAACTAGTATTACTCTAACTTGGGAAACCTACATGATTTATGTATACATATATGAAGATAGTGAAATTATATGACGTTCATGTATTATTGTACAATTTAATATGTGTACATGCGAATCATTGTACATGTGTATAATAAAACATTTGTGTACAATGGTGAATCGTTATTCGGTGGTGAATAGCTTGAGTTAGGTTGAATAGGAGATCCATGGTGATTTCAGACGCTCATGGAGGAAAGAATGACAGAGGTTTACGACTCACTTATTTTTTTTTATCAATTTGTTCTTATATACGAAATTGACAAGTGTAAATATGAACTTTTGTACATGTGGATAGTACTTTATGTGTACACATTGTTAATACTCTAAGTTCAACCAGGTTCAATCATGTATATGTACATATTTATTGGTAAACTATACTACTCTAAGTTGGAAAACCTACATGTATCATGTATATGTATATGCAAAGAGGTACACATATTCGGTTTGTACACATGTAATCTTGTACACATGTACATATATAATCATGTTGTTTAATTAAAGTTAAACCACGCTCCATGTCTATATCTGCAAAGACAAATTTATTTCTTTAACATGTACATGTGTACACTAAAATTATGTACACATGTCAGTGGTCATCCAATGTACTCGTGTACACGGACATGTGTACACTAACATAATGTACACATCCACGTGATCATCCAATTATTTAATGAGTGGCATTTTCGTAATTTTAACTTCATCTTCCCAAAATCAATTAGGGTTTTCTGCAATTTCTCTCTATGGCCGCCAGTCATTATTCTCACATGAATCATAAGTTTTTTCATATTTGTTGTTTATTATACCTTTAAACTTGTAAAATATCATATAAGATACTATTCTAAGTTCAAAATTACTTTGTTTCTACAAAAAAAACGGGAATTTTGCTTCTTTTTTTCTATTACTATCACAACGTGAGGCGGATGAGTTACAGAGCATGGTGTGGAGGAAGAAGCTTGGTCGTGTTGATTCATGGCGAAGAAACAGAGGAATCGCAATCGTGTTCTTCATTTTGTTTTCCAGATTTTCTCTTGGGATTTTTCATTATGTTCTTCATCATCTTATTCAGATTACGATCTATGAGTTTTCTCATTTTGTTACTTTTAAAATTGTTCCTCTGATAGAAAACGAGAAAAAATGAGATTAAAAATTATGGGATCCATTTAGTTACTCTTTAGTTGCTTGTAGTAATAAAAACTACCTTAGGAGCACTAACTGCTCTATTTTGTAATAAAAAACTTGAAACTGCCCTATGATGAAAATAACTCTATTTATTATTGGAATAATTGTTCATTTGTTCTTGACTAATCTTCGTCCATCTCCATCTTTGATCAATAGTCGATGCAAAAACGAATAATTAAAGGGCTTGCTTGTGGCAGCATGCACTAAGAAATGTTTTCAGAATGATTAAATATAGACTGTAGAATTTATTAGTCATCAACATTTCAGTAGAGATGGCAATTATGGATTTCGACTGCGGACTTAGCCCGTAAAAAACTGTCACGAGACGGTATTGGGACGAAATTTCCTACGTCCACAAATTTACGAGTTTTGTGGGATGGATCTTTATGGAACTGGGTCTTTTGCGGGATTGAAACGGGTCCTGCAAAACTACAAGGACCCGTATTTTTTCTTTATTTTTTGTTTTACCTGAAAAACAAGAGGATGAGTGAGAAGAAAACGATTCATGTGACTTCCCCTGAGCAAACGTATTATGATGATGATTCGAGCTTCAGTGATAATGATTTGAGCTTCGGGGATGACGATTCGAGCTTTAGTAGTGTTTTGATTTGTTTTTTTTATTTAATTTGGGATTGACATTTTTGATTTGGTGTTTCATTTTATTTAATTTTTGGATTGAACAAACTAATACATTGGTTATGAACTTATGAGTTATAAGATAATGAAAAATATCTTCAATTATTATTTTTAATTTGTATGTTAATATGTTTTGGGTGAAATACAAATAATTAGAATTATTGTTTTGAATAAAAAATAACCAGATCAATGATTGATGAATTATGTCCAGTTGAATAGACCGCTTGAACTATGTCTTAGAATGGCCTGGACTATTTTAGAGTGGCCTAAATCATTCTGCTGTGTGTATTGTCACATGTCCCGCGAGACGGTCTGCAGAGACCTACGGGAATATGCATCTGTTTTCAAGATCGCATTCCGCATGAAATAGGCTCGCCGCATCCCGCTAGAAGATGAACCCGCATTGATCTGGAACAGGATGGAACGGAAGAACCCAATTGCCATTTCCACATTTCAGGTATTGACAATGGCAATGGCCACATAAAATATCGTTTAAAATCCAAATTAGCAACAATAATTTGCTTTTTTACAAATATATTTTATAAATGTCGGAGATAGATTAAATTCCTCAAACACGGTCTATCAAATAATTAAACTCGGCCCATTTAGTAATGAAGTGGTCATAGAATAAACAACTTTAAGAGTTTGATTGGTAGAGCATTAACATAATTATTATGTTCTCTATTAATCAACATTTTTAAAAAAGATATTTAGAAAAACATTTACCAAATACTAATGCTCTTTGAATGCTTTTTGCTCAATATTTTCATACGGAGCTTGGGGAAGAGAATTTGCAATTGGAATATATAAAACTTAAAATAACTATATATAACTAATTTATTTTTATTTAATAATATAAAATTATTTCTATAATAATAAATAAATTTCTATTTTTAAAAATAAAAATTATAATTATATTAATATTTTTAAAAGAAAAATATTTCACATTTAAAATGTAATATAATTTATATAATTAAAAATATCGTTTATTATTTTTAATAAAAAACATAACATATATTTATATATTATAGATATAAACATATATATTATTTAGACACTAATAAATTAATTATACAACATATAAATTAATTATACTGCTCTACCAATAAATAATAATGATCATTTATACATAAATTATACCTACTTAAGTAATTTATTTAATGATATTAAAATATGTTTATATCTAAAATAATTAAATATTAATATTTCACATATAAAATATAATATAATTTATATAGTGAATACGTTTCATCATTTCGAATAACAAATATATTATTAATATATATTATATGTATATAAATATTATTTTAAAATAAATATATTATTATATTAACTATTATGATAATTTTAAAATTGTATACTATTAATGTTTTACCAATCACTTTATTAGAAACTTTAATAAAAGCCACGTGTCGTGGGCGTCCACGCACAATGGAAAAACCCTTTCAAATTCGGTGTTTATTTTGAACTTTCTTAAACCAATTCTTAACATTTTGGTGGGATTCATCATTAAAAAGGCACTAAGAACTCCTTTAAAATCTAGCGATAATGATGCTCTAAGACACACAAAATAATCAGCTTAAAAAGAGAGGAGACCAAAGACAATGAGAAGAATTCACAAACATACGTTTCTTGGCACAAAAGGTAGGGTTTTTCCGTATTATATTTGTTCTTACTGAGTTGATAATCTTTTCATGTTAATTTAGTCTTTTTTCTTCTAATTCAATCAATAAATGTCTTTCACATAATTCACCATCAAATTTATGTACACATCTAATACCTACCAAATTCAGATTAAATAATTAGCACTTTTGAAGAATTAAAAAGTAACGCCAAGAAAAATTATACATGAGTGAGATGATTTTACTGGCACATGGAAAACCATTTCGACTACATATATAACCACTATAATGGAGAGATGAAAATCATAATGTCGTGTCTTGCTCAACAAGACACGACAAACAAAGTTACTAACGAGCGCCTTAATGTCATCCACACTGCCATCGCACCACCAACCACCGATGACGCAGATACTAAGACATCAAGAAACAATTCTTTGGCACCAATAACCGTACAACCCATGGAATCTATCCGGAAACAAACCAGTCCATGTATGTTCTCCGAACCATGATGCATGATATCACCTCAAAAATCAATGAAGTATCGACATCCTCGAGCGTATCCTCACTGCAATCCTGAAAACCCCCTTCTTGAAGAAAATCACCAACATCAAGTTCCTCTAGTTTGTAATAATCTCAAGTTTATGTAAACCTCAAAGAAAATCTTCTTTATTAATCTCACAATTGCTTTAGAAAATCACTCAAAACTAAAGCTCACAAATCACACACGGATGCAACACTCTTGCA